GCGGGGAGGGCGGCGGCGGCGGGCGAGGCCGGCGCGGGGCCGGGACAGGCGCCCGCTCCCGCTCCACGTGCGAGCGGCGGAGCCGGAGGCCGCGCCGGGGGCACCCGCTGTCGCCCCGAGGCTGCTTTAAAATATCGTTTTTTTCTCTTCTCGTTTCTATTCTTTTTTTTTTTTTTTTTTTTCCGCTGAAACTTAGGGGGAAAAATATAGCAGGATTGATACAGAAGAGCTTAATGCTCCAAACAGAAACTTTTCCTGCTCTCTGGGTACTCTGGTTGTGCCGTTGCTGGAGTGTTCCTGGCGCGTGGGCTTTGCGCGACGCTTTTTGCAGCGCCCGTCCAGAAAGCGCCCGGCGCGGCCGCCCCGTCAGGGCRGAGGCGATGGAGGGGCCCGAGGGCTCTGCCCTGCTGCCCAGTTCCCCACCGCGCCGCAGCCCGTGCGTGGGTGAACGTGGTGAGCTGCGGATGTGAGAGTGATGCGGGCACGGGGGTGTCTGCCCTTGCTTTGGTGTCTGACTTGGGCTCCCTGCTTAGGGACCCCGTTCAGAGGGGAAAGGACCCTTTCCTAGAGCTTGTTCCTGAGGCTCTTAGCGCGAGGCTCTTCCTCCACGGCCTAGATCGTGCTTAAAATCTGGCAAAACAGCGTTGATTTGGAGGAGCCGTTTTGTTCTGCAGGTATCCTGGATGCCTGTGGGGGTAGTTGTGTAGTGCCCTGTATTGGGATAGGGACTTTCATTTGGAGAGTCTGCTAATGATGTCTTTGTTCTGCTCCTTAAGTCGTGTCCTTTTAGCAGCAGTATGTTATAGCCCATGGAAAACCTCACTCTTCCGAGGTGTGGTGGCTCTTGCCAGGAAGTGTGCTTGGGAGAGTGGAGTTTGGATGCTCCGAAATTTCCTAGGAGAAGAAATGGGAAAACATTTTAAAACTGCAGAGCTCAGATAGGTGAGGACTGACCCTTTAGGGGTGCAGTRTGACGGGAATGACTTCAGCCTCGGGCACTTAAAGCCTTATGTCAGTTCCTTCCTCCTCTTTTCTTTCCTCCTGGATGTCCTAATGTTCAAAGCTGTTGGCCAACTGAAGATCAATCTATCTGTCCCTTCTTACTCCGATACAGATGCAACTGAGAGCAAAGATAAATGTTTGGTGGGAACTAATGTTTGTAGCTGCCCTTATATTCCTAGTGGAACTTCTGATGCRTCTTCACCATATCTGTTTCAGTGATGACCTGTTTTATTCTTCCATCTCCCGTAGTTAAGACCTAGTAATCACCTGGCCTTAGGATGAGTGATTTTACTGTGCTGCTTTGATAGAAAATGATTAAACTAACTTGCTAGGGAAAAAAAACCCAACATTGTTCACGGATTCTTCTCKCTCTCCTTTACTTCTCCCTGCCTTGGCTCTGGCTTTTGGTGSCTGGAGGGCAGATTGGATTGCTAGCTGTTCAGATAGGAAACCAGTTTTATTTTTGTTGTTGTGTTTCTTATTTTAATTCATTTTTAGTCAAATGAGGTGTTGGTAGGAAAGAGCAGGAGGGGAGAGCGGGGCCGCCTCTTCTGGCAGCAGAAGAGGTTCCCGGTGGGACGAGGTGCAGGAGCTGCAGACACGCTGTGCGTGATGCTGCTGCAGGGGGGCACAGGGCATCCACAACGACTACATTCTGGACATGACATGAGGTTTTTATGCAAACAATCTSTTAATTCCATGTTCTTCAGAAATGCTTGTTTCAGCTACATCAAAGATGTTTTCCAGGGAAAGCAACTGCTTTATTTTTAGGCATTTTCTGAAGAGCAGCTTCCTATATTCTGAAGGAASGTAACTAGTTTGCAGTTCACATGTGTCCCTTTTGGACTGACCCTCTTGTGACTCATGCTCTTTTTCAGGCAAGGAATGATGTTTTGTTCATAATACGTTTATTTGTGGAAATCTAAATAAAGCCAAATGCTAGGAAATCTTCCTTATGGAAAAGTGAAAAGACCAATTCCTGCAACATTAGTTGAACTGGTGCATCATTTAATGAGATTTCCATTACATTCTTATATAATTTGAATATTTTCAGGACGATGCTGTTAGCATTGAAAGCGGTACCAACACAGAACGCCCTGACACCCCAACAAACACTCCTAATGCACCAGGAAGAAAAAGCTGGGGGAAAGGAAAATGGAAGTCAAAGAAGTGCAAATATTCCTTCAAATGTGTAAATAGCCTAAAGGTAAGTATGGGTGAGCTTCAGCAGGGGAAAGCCGGATACCATTTGCTGCCAGTGATGTTAATGTTGCTTGTGAGATAGTGTCAAGACTGGTGTTTTAAAATACCTTTACATAATTTATGTTCCATGCTCATCTGAAGAACATACTTTTTTTTTTGGACTAAAGCTGTAAAAAACAAGATTTCTGAGAGACAGAAATCAGTAGGAAGTGGTGTATTTGGCCTGATTTTTGTACAAATTTGCAAAGCTATACATGTTATTCTATAATTACGTATTTTATCGGCACTGCAGTTACTTGATCTAGTGAAACAAATTCAAATAGTAACTTGTGATGACTTGATACAGAGCACTGATCTAATGCAGCCTCTTCTACCAACTGAAATGTATTTAAAAATAATAAAATAAAAAAAAAAAAAGATCCTGACAACCTTGGAGTAACTTTTTGCTCTCACTTAACGGAACCGGTATTTTCTGTCATCTAGCAGTTAACATAAATGCTGTGTAGTGTGATCTGTTTAATTTACCAGAAATGTGATCCTGTGTTTGCACCTGATTAGATCTCACTACCTCTTCTCCCTGATTTTATTTTATTTTATTTTATTTTATTTTATTTTATTTTATTTTATTTTATTTTATTTTATTTTATTTTATTTTATTTTATTTTATTTTATTTTATTTTATTTTATTTTATTTTTTAATTTTATTTTATTTTTACTTCTGCAATGGTCACCTACCATGAAGAGCTAAAGAAGTTGGCTACGATTTGGTTCTCTTGCATTAGCACCGTGGTATTCTTTCGTTCTCTGCTCTTATACAGGAGGTATTTAGATGTCAAAAGCTGTAACTATGCCATGTGATACGATTCTTTTGTAAGATTCCTAAAAGTAGGAAACACTGGGTGTGGAACAAGATGGAAGCTTCGTTAAGCTCTGTATATAGCTGTCAGGAGGATGTGCAGCTCTGTCGTGGGTATTTCCTGCAGAGCTGCTTTGAGAGCTTTTGTCATTCTCCGGCACTTAACTATGGGGCTGTGCTGATGTAGCTGTTTCTGAACTTGTGCCTCAGGCTGCCTCGCTGACATGATGGGGTAGCTGAACAGGAAGGGGGATGAGAGGTTTGGAGCAGGGAAACCTCTGAAGTAGCTTTGCCACTGGAGAAATTGTGGTATGAAGTTACACTGACAAAAGAGCCTGGGAAATAAGTTTGTCTTTGTACCTTTTTTTTTTGATGTTTAATGAAAAAATTATCTTCCTCCTTTCAAGGCAGAGGAGGAAGGGAAGTTCTTTCATTTTCACATAGGTAGGCAGCTGCTCCTGTTATTCATTTGAATCGCCCCCACACCGTGAGCTTTCTGTGGCATCATGTTGTGCTTCTCACACAAGCGTGGGCCTCTGCACCCAAACATTTAGCAGCTCTTGAGTTTCGTTAAGCACATTCGTTTTCTGTCTGCAGAACAAATATCCCTATTTCATTATTGTTTTTCATGTCTGATGGAAAAACAGAACATGTTCATGCCTCAACTTAAACTTAGACTCCGTTGTAGGGTGACCTAAAAGGCCCCCTTGTAAAGTATTCCCTGACTTCCTTGGATCTGGATCAGGGCCTGGGAACAGATTCCTGTGCAAGTGGAATCAATCTGTGTGAGTAAATGTATGGTTTCAGCTAAGTAGGATATTCTTACTATCCCTTTCTTCTCATTCCTCTTTGAACTGAAGTTGAGCTATATTAATAGGAAGACTAGAAAGCAACTGCATTTGGTAACTCCTCTTTGCTTTATGTTTGAGGAATCCTCTCTAATTTTTTTTCCTGTTCTTCCATCCTGATTTTACAGAGACTGTGGAGACAAATCGAAACAACTGAATGTTGTATATGGGCTGGGAAAGACATTCATGACTTTGTTTTCTTAAGGAGAAAAGAGTAAAAAGCAGATTAAAAAAAAGTAAATTACTGATTGAACATTAAAAGGTTATGATTCAGCATGAAAAAAAATAGTGCTTGCTTTTTTAAACACTAATGTGGAAGTTACTTTATTTGAAACCTAAGTACCAGGAAAAAAATAAACAAGAAACTTTATAGATAAGTTTATAAACTTCTTTTATATATAAAAAAAATGGGGTAGTGGGTGCAAGCTGCAACACAGGAAGTTCTATCTCCATGTGATGATCTCTTCTTCACTGTGAGGGTGACAGAGTCCTGGAACAGGCTGTCCAGGGAGGTTGTGGAGTCTCCTACTCTGGAGGTCTTCCAAACCCGCCTGGATGCCACCCTGTGCCACATGCTCTAGGTGTCCCTGCTTGAGCAGGKGGGTTGGACTAGATGATCTCTAGAGGTCCCTTCCAACCTTGAACATTCTGTGATTCTGTGATTCTATGAAATAATAGGAGATCAAAATGTGCTTCATTATTATTACTGCTGTTTACAGTCCTAAGATACTGTCATGTGAACTGAAGAATAATCTCTRTTCCCCATGGAGCGATTGGAAACAATTTATAAATGAGCATATACAACTAACAGAAGCATGTGCTCACATGCATTTTTATGTGTTCTGCTCATAGCTCTCGTAGCAAGAAACTTGGGTTCTGCTTTGATGTGTTCTCTTTTAAACAATGCCATTATTTGCCCTCTCCTTGTGCTCGTTCAGGGTGCGGTTCAGTAGCTGTTTGCGGTCTGATTTCTCAGCTTGTCCCAACTGTCCCCTGAGCTGGGGAATCAGTAGTGGCCAAATAAGGAGGCTACCAGCTCCTTGGCATGACTAAAACCACTGTTGATGATGCCTTGCTCCTGCTGCAAGGGCTGGAGAGGCTCATATGAACAGTTAGCACCTTGTTAGCAGAGAGGGTGACCTTATTAAGACACATTCATGTAGTTGTGGGTGATTATCTTGCTGACATAGTATTTCTGTAACTGCTTCCACCTTGAAAACAGGGCTACTCTTACTCTGTTCACTGCAACCTGAGATGGAATTCAGCAAGTAACTAACTAACTTGAATATGATTATTTATTTGCTTTAAAAATGCTGTCACAATAATTGTAGGTCTAGTTGCTCCTCTGTCTCCTTCCTGGTGCTTGGGACACGCGAGTGCTTTGGGTATCTGCCCTTTATTTATGCTGGTGCGAAGGTGGCATTTCACAGTTCTCCTATTCTTGGCTAGAATCTGGGTCAAACTATTCTCGTAGGCAAATCAGTGGTCAGATTTGCGTGTCAGATTTGGTATTGCAGGATAACCGTAATGTGCAGCATCTAACAGCACAGTGCTTTTAAAATGTGCTTCATTATTTAGCAATGGGAACAAAGATTAGACTGGACAAGTGTTAACAGAAACACTTAAGTGCTGCCTCTTACCGGTGAGGAGGATGGTGCTTTAAAGCAGGTGACCAGAACTTCTTGGGGTACCCTAGTAGCATCTTGGAAGAACATCTGTCTCCTTCATCCGATACRCACTGGAAAAACTGTAATATCTCTGATCAGGCTCTTGAGATACTGTAGTACATCCTACGAGGAATGTGTGGTGGCTGGTGTAAGTAATGTAAAGACACTTGTCCCACAGGGTGATTTTCCTAGGGAAATATGTCTTTGAAAAAGACTGCTTGAATACTTTCTTATTTCTGTATTTGAATAAATTCCTATAGTGTATATCCCTGCTTACCTTATCCTATGCTGTATTTTATGTAGATGGTAATTAATATGTTGCAGCTTATCCTAGAAAAATGTCCCAAATTGGGGATGGGGTGAAAATCTTGGATGCCAGGCTTTYTCTTCCTCGCTTTTATATTTCCCTCGTTGCAAAATTAATTAGGAACAGTGCACATGAGAGAGAGAAAAAGATTATTTTTGAAAAAAAGTGCTAATGTACTAGACAAAAACTGCTGCTGTATCTCAAGCACAAGAGCATGAATCAATGGATTTTTGCATGTGTGTTGCCTTTGTGTAGTTGGTCAAATACCCTCTTTATTCACCAGGATGAACTCATTTACAAACATGTTGAAACAACTTGTTATTATCAAAATAACTTTTTTTATGCTAATCACCCATTGCATATCTGACCTCTCAGCCACACTCTGCAAAAAAGACTTAAATACACTCTGAGGACAAGCCTRAAAACTACAGTTCCAATCTCTACTGCATACACAAGTCCATGACTTTGAGATTTCATGGCATACAATTTTCTCATTCTTATTCTCTAATTAAGCTGTAATTCCATATAGGTGCTAACTATCAGCTGCTTTTCTTTTGTCCTGTAGTGACTTAATGATTTTAGTAATTTTTTTTGTTAGTAGTACTTTTCTCTCTTCACACAAACCAGCCAGTCCGTGTTTTRAAGGCTAGTATTTTATTGACTTAAACATGGAAAAATTCTTATTAATCTCTATTTGGCTTTCACCTCTACTTCAGAAACTCAGGAAGGCCTTTTCCTTGAAAGATTTTTCTGTCTTTTCTTAGTTCTGTTTCTGGAGGTAATAACACAGTGATACTTTTCTCAGTAAATACTGCCCCTTTTAAATCCTTCAGACTTCCTTGCTTTTTAGTAGGCTTCTTTGCATAATGATGGACTTTCCCTCCTCCTCAGATTTATCCTATGGCTCTTGAAGAGGCCAGAGCTACCAGGACTCCTGTTTCTGGTGTTGCTTCTGAAGAACCGATTTGAAGAGCACTCGGTCACAGTCATGAGACACTTCCTTCCTGCCTGTAATGTCCCAGACAGTCCCCTGTGGGGAGGCACTTTAATGAACATTATTCTTACTGAAAATGTCCTGTCAAGGCGGGCCAAAATACTGTTATCAATTAATAACAAACATCACCATATTCATCACAACTTACAAACATATTTTCTCCTTTAAAACTGATGTAAGCTGTGTAAAAATAGTGCTTGGCCTTTTGCTGGTAACTGAAGAAAGTCTGAAAACACTTTGTAGTTGTGAATTTTGTAGTATGAGATGCTGGAATTGGTTCCACAGGTCTTTGGTAGAGTTGCAGGACCTAATCATGATAGAACGTAGCCCTTTTCCATTCTTACAGCACTATAATTCCTAATAAGCCTCCTCAGTGAGGTTGTAAATCCTGCTCTAATTATAACAATATAAAAAGCACATTGACCTGGCTTGTTAGGCTAGATTGCTTTGTTGAAGGCTTCAAAACAAAGTAAGTATAGAGCTTACTCAGATTTAACTCGGGAGTTCTGCCAACTTCTGCCCATAACTGTGAGACAACAATTTTTTCCTTCACTTTTTAAAAGCTTGTCAAATAAAGTATTCCTTTAACTTCCCTTAATAAAGCCAATATAAAATGTGATGTTGCAAAACCTCTCTTTAACTGTTCGCTATCTCAAATTATACTGGATGTGAGCTTAGTAGTTTGAATACACAGCTCAGTTTTACAGAAATGTCTGTGCGTTTTGTTTTTTTTTATCAGGAGGACCATGGTCAGCCTTTGTTTGGAGTTCAGTTTAACTGGCACAGTAAAGAAGGAGATCCTCTTGTTTTTGCCACTGTAGGCAGCAACAGAGTGAGTAATTCCTTTGTGTTTAACCATACCCCTTCTGATTGTTTCTGTTTGCATTCCTTTTTCCAGCTAATCCCTTTACCTGTGTTTGGTCGTGACACAATATAGAGGGCTTTCATATGAAAAGCTTCATAGAGAAAGCTTCATTTCTTAGATACATAATGTCTGTTGTCTGGGAGAGGTGAAACTAGATTGTTGTATGATGTCAGGCTTCAGCTATTTGGGAATTATCCTGTATGGTAATTAAAGTTCTAGCCGTAGGGTGAGGGAGAGAGGYGCATAAATTTGTCTCCTCACTGAAATCCCTCTTCTTAGATGTTACTATTTCCAAAAGATTCTCTGCTCTAAAACTGCATRGGAAGTGGCTGTGATGCCAGTGTGCTTGACAGCTAAATTGATGGCCTGCCTGAGATGAATTTATAGCTTCTTCCTCAACAAAGATCTACGTCACTGCAGTCTTAAAATAACTGCTCAAGTGCACTCTTATGTATATGTTGTGAATGAACAAGAAGCCTTCAATTTTCAGGTTTATTCCACCTGTAATTACCAAAATTGCTAACCTAAGATTACACCTGATATAAACAGCTTTTTAAAAGACCAAAATCAGGTTAGAGGTAGCTACAGTAATTAGTAGTTTTAGGAACTAGAACTTTATAACGGAGACAATTTGATTAGTCGCTTTAAATATCTGGGTAGCACATGGGCAAATCCTAGTGTGATGCTTTACTGAAGTAACTGTAAGCATTCTTTTATCAAACTACTTCCCTATATTGCAGATCAACAGATAATGGAAGAGATYGAAACCATAAGAATCACTACCTGTAATAATCAGAAACTAAATATTCAGTTGCATATGATTTACATTGGAAGTTTTACAAGTAAGCAGTAATCTCTTCCTTTTTTTGCTCCTCCAGGTTACTTTATATGAATGTCATTCTCAAGGAGAAATACGTTTGCTACAGTCCTATGTGGATGCTGATGTATCCTTTTAATTTTTTTAAGAAGGTAAAACATCCGCTTGGTTCTTCTTTATCAGAATTGAAAAGGATTAATGGGAAATAGAACTCGAAGATTTTGACTGTGATTTAATATTTTGCTCATATGGTTCATTCCCCATGGTACATCCAAATCTTACTTCTTTTCCACATCCTAGRTTCCTTCTGTTGAAATAATAATAGAAATGCAGACTCATGGAACATGCTATATTAAAATATTTGAAAACTGATTGTCCTTCAGCTTAATCTTCCTAACCCTATTATTTGTGTTGTACTTTATTGATCCCAATACAGGGTCCTGGGTACTTTCATAACAGCACCAACCTTGTTTTGTTAAAATACATTGCTTGAAAAAGCACTCCTTTTTCTTATTAAACGAAACTTGTGTTATTTCTGTGTTCCTTAATGTACAACATTGTAGGCAGATGAAAATTTCTATACCTGTGCATGGACATATGATAGCAATACAAGCCATCCTCTCCTGGCTGTGGCAGGGTCCAGGGGTATTATTAGGATAATTAATCCTATTACAATGCAGTGCATAAAGGTGAGTGCTCAGAACTTCAAAATACAGCTTGCATTTCGTTAAGGTGTGTAATACCTCAGTACATGTCAACTTGGGAAATGTAACTTGGTCTCTGAATTCTGTCCCAGCATTATGTAGGCCATGGAAATGCAATCAATGAACTGAAATTCCATCCAAGGGATCCAAATCTCCTCTTATCTGTAAGCAAAGGTGAGGAAAGATGCGTTTCATTTTTGTGTAAGTCAGAGTACTGTGGTTTGGGTTTTGGTATTGAAGGTGACCAAAACTCTTCTCAAATCCAAGTTGATGAATGCTACTGAACAAGCTTAGCTTGAAAGTCTAGAGCAAATCTTGGTCTTAAAGGTTGTATATAATGTAAATATTAAATCTGTGGCCTACAGTGAAAATAATTCCGGGTCACTAAGGAATTGTGAACAGTGCTGCTGATTGGGGTTGCTCTTTCCTTCAGGACATTGATTTGGGTTATTTCTTTTTCCTCAGTTGTTGAATCACGTTGCCATCTAGTGGGGATGTGTTAATATTGCAGGCAGCATTGGTCACTGGTCAGGGGGAAAATATATTTTCTGCTGGAAGGATTTTGAACTTTAAATGGAATTTGTGTATAAAGGGTATTAGGGAAGTAAGCTTTTTGTTTGGTGTCCTACAGTCTTGTTTGGAATGTGGAAACAATCACCAGTTTGTAATCTTGGCTATTAAGTAAAGGAACACTTGATCTGTCACAGGAATAAACTTCCAATAATCACAGAATAGTTGAATTGGAAGGGACTTCTGGTGATCTAGTGATCATCTAGTCCAACCCTGCAACAGGGCCACCTACAGCAGGTTGCCCAGGACCACCTCTGGTTGGATTTTTAATTCTTTAAAGAATAGAAGCTCCACAACTTCTTGGGGCAACCTGTTGGAAGTGTTCAGCCACTCTGACAGTGAAAAGGGGTTTTCTTTTATTCAAGAGGAGTTTCCTGTGCTTCAGTTTGGGTCTGTTTCCTCTTGTCGTGTCACAGGCACCATGGAGAGTGATTTGGCCCCATCCTCTTTGTATCTTCCCTTCAGATACTTCTATACAATGACAGGAATGCCCTTAGCTTGTTCTCCAGACTAGACAGGCCTATTTTTCAGTCTTTCCAGTGTCGAGTAGATGGAGAGGACCACCTCTCATGGCCTGTTGGTAATGTTCTTCCTAATGCATCCCAGGAGAGCATTGGCCTTCTSGCCACAAGGGCACATTGGTGGCTYATGATCATCTTGTTGTCTACAAGGACCCCCAGAGTCCTTTTCTGCAGAGCTGCTCTCTAGTTGATGGGCCTTCTTCTTGTACCGGGGTGTGATGTTCCTATCCCAGTTGGAGGACTCTGCACTTCCCTTTGTTGAGTTTCATGAGGCTTCTCTCTGCCCATTTCTCCAGATAGTCGAGGTCCCTCAATAGCAGCACAGTCCTTTGGCATATCAAGCACCCCTTCCAGTTTTGTGTCGTCATCAGTCCTACTAAGGAGGCACTTGYTCCTGTCATCCATTAGCAAAGTTGTTAAACAACCTCAACCTAAGTATCGGCCCCAAGAGCACCCCAGTAGTGACTGCTCTCCAGTGGAGTAGGTGCTGCTGATCACAGCCCTCTGAGCTCAGCAGCTCAGCCAGTCTGCTGTCTACCTTACCATTACCAAACCATATTTTGTCAGCTTGTGTATGGAATGCATTATCTGGGAATGCTAGAAGTGGAAACGTTAACAGAAGAGGACTTTTGACTTGGGCGTAGCTGTTCAGCCTTGCTGGTAAAGCCACACAAGAAGAGCAGTTGATTCTTGGAAATGTCTAATTTTTTGCGATGATTTTGGCCGTGTGGGTATAGTTTAGAATTTCCTGAGCTCTGCAGATGTTATAGGTTCTGTTTCAAAACACATTTTGCCATCAGCCATACTAATAGGATTTTTGCTGTTTAATCTGTGGACCATGTACAGTTTTCAGGAGGGCATGAGGCAGGAGAGTACTCAGGTATCAGAACTCCTCAGCTGGGAGATGAGTAGAAAGAGAAAATGTGGGACTGTTCAGTATCCTCACTGGAATAGCTGTAATTTAGTGCAAATGCTTATAGAGCCCAAAGGGGAAGTATGCAAGAGATTCCCATTTTTAAGAACASTGAGCAATGTGCTATAGGTTCTACATTGGAAAATGTTAAAGCTTTCTTTAAACAAGTGGACTAGTCACTTGACTTGGAAGTRTATATTGTTTACAGAGGTCATTCCTTCCTGCCTCTATAGTTTATGATTCATAAAGAATAATATTTCARAGGTGAAAAAATGGAAAATCCAAACTTTCTGAACACTGCTTTAAGAATGGCTGAAAGGAATTTAATGTTTGGTTGTTTTTGCTTGAAATATAAAATCAGGTATGAACTAAGATTGAATAAGGTCAGACTCTGCTTTTCAGATGATCTAAGACCTAAAAATATTTTTGAGAGAAACTGTTCCCAGAGGCTGGGGGACAGGAATGGACACATTTTCTCAATTACAGATATAACAGTATTTAATTAAAACAACAAATGTAGTGAATGCAGTCCTGTATTTCCTATCAGTTGGATTCTATGCAGCTTTTTTTGATATATACGTGGGTATGTATAATTGAAAGTGGTGAAGCTGAAGTATATTATTCATATGTGCGTATGAAAAGCAGCATGTAATTTTATTTGTTCTTTATAGATCATGCATTGAGACTGTGGAACATCCAGACAGACACGCTGGTTGCAATATTTGGAGGAGTAGAAGGGCACAGGGATGAGGTGTTAAGTGCAGTAAGTGGAAGAATGTGGGGCAGTGATTTAGATTTACACAAAGGGTAGCGAGTTCATAAAATGCACCTTCTTATCCTCTGTGCACTGTGTTTGATTTTATGTCTAATGAAACTGAAGTGCATAAGCAATGTAGTAAGTGGATAGACAAGTGTAATTCTGAAGTGGTTTGACTGATCTGGCCATCTCTTAATAAACAGAACAGGAATTCACTTTTTATATCTGCTCCAGTAGCTAGATGCCTTATGGTACAGCCTGGAAGTAAACAAAATAGACCTSAGTGGGGCTGGAAAGAGTCTTAAGTTTTCATTATGGTCCCACTTCTAAAGTTCTTGAGGTCTTACCCAGCAAAAGCAGCAAGAACTAATAAACCTTCAGAGGGATAGAATAGTGAAGGAAATAGGAAATATCAGGTGAGTTATGCTGCTTTTTAATATCTATGGTCATATACTGGTACCCCAGCAAATACCAGTGAGAATACTTAACTTTTAATATGCCCTGCTTGTTGCCACTGCTGCTGTACGACCTGAAAGATGAGATGTATATCTGTATGAAACATGATGCTGTATCCTCCTGTAGTTCTAAGTTGTCATCAGCCATATATTAGCTTTGGAATTCTGCCACGATTGTTCCATAAAATGAAACATAAAGTGAAACCAAGGATATTTAGTAGCAGTAGCTTCATTGTCTGTCAGTGCTGTATTTTATTTTTTTTCCCCTTGGGTGAAAATGAGTAGAATTATTGTGCTTCTTAAAGTGAGCAGGATTAAGTCATTCTTAGCATTCTTTCCATTTGAACTATATACTTTTACTGCTTTCTCTACAAAGAAAATGCTGTTTTGACTATGTTTTGCATATGATGGAAGTTACAAAGTTACTGTAGTGTCATTTAGACTATATTATTTCATATACATAGGATTATGATCTTCTGGGTGAAAAAATCATGTCCTGTGGGATGGATCACTCTCTGAAACTCTGGAGAATTAATTCCAAGAGAATGATAAATGCCATCAAAGAGTCCTATGAGTACAATCCAAATAAAACCAACAGGTGGGTAATCTTCATCATCTTGGCTGTCTTTTCAAAATATGAATGTTCTCATTCCAGATTAAATCATATTGAAATAGGATTATTCTTGGGTTTAATGAGTGATGAGATTGTGTTGGATACTGAATCTCTCGAAGAAAACTGATCTTGTTAAATTTATGTCTTAGCAGGATTTTGTTGAAATCAAAGTCCTGACTAGAAAATGTCTGAGATTTTTCTCTATCGGTTTTAATTAAAGCTGATATGCTTTTGTGTTTCGATAGATGTCAATGTCTTTTCTTCTTTTCCAGTTCAAAATTTCCTGGAGGGAAACAAAACTGTGTAATGAAATATAGTAAATAATTCAGCTTTATAATGTAACTGTGGGTATGCAAGCAGGACAAAATGTTTACCTAGTAGTAACTTTCATAATTTTATGATCTCAGAGATGAGTAAATTTTAATGTAAACATGGCAATTAAAAATACATGACAGCTAAAGCCACCTTTATGAAACTGAGCAATCTTTTAATTAACGTTCAGTTAAACTGTTGAGAGTTTAAGACTCTAAAACAGTTGAACATGTTCAGCAATGAGGCCAGCTTTGAAAGTACTCTTGCTATTTTTTGATAACATTACCAAATATTAAATGTTGTTTCTTAAACTGATTTTTTTTTTATGTTTAGCAATTTAGATATTGCAGGAGGAGCATTGGGAAAACTTGAGTTGTCTTAATTAGTTCTTAAGATATTTGCCGAAGGGAACTGTACTCAGCATCTGAAGGAATGGTTTTGCTTGGCATTGTCATGTAAACTTGAGCCTTTGGGGAAACTATTCCATTAAGAATGAAAATGAAGACAGGGATTGTTCATATCCTAAATAAGTATACAAAATATACCAATACAAAATATATAACCAAAGCAGCAGAAGACAGACTTGTGATTTTAACAATAGGGTATGTTAAATGTCTCTACTGAAAATTAGACTTGTGCTTCTGGACCTCACTTGGCACTTTTCTCCATAGGCCTTTTATTTCTCAGAAAATTCACTTTCCTGACTTTTCTACCAGAGACATACATAGGAACTATGTTGACTGCGTACGGTGGTTGGGAGATTTAATCCTTTCCAAGGTAAGGTGGCAGATTTTCCAGTTAGATTACTCTTACTCATTTGCTCTAAGGATCTTAGACAGTTTAGGTTCCAGTAGAAGTTCAGTGGCAGTTTTGTCAGCTGTTGGGATAGCTGGGTAAGCAACTTGTACATAAAAAATCTTTAATAACTACAGCTATAGCTTTGTTAAGAGTACAGCAATATCAGCTAAATCAGGATCTGCATAGAATAATGAATAAAAGTGTAATACTGATCAAGCAACGTCTGGATCAAATTAGGATTCTCCTAATGAAGTGACTTTGATCTGTGTGGTAACAGTAGTAATGTTTGCCTGCAGATACCCAGCTGGGTAGGTGTCACTGCCTCTTCAACAGAAACTACTGTGTGCATGGTTCCATGGGCAGAAGGGGTTGCATGAGAAATCCTTAAATCTGGGTTAATTTATTGCTGCTCTTGAAAATGTGTTTGAGCACCTCTGGTTGACTTCCTTGGAAATGGGTGAGGGAGGGAGGGCTCATGTAATCCTGTTATCTGGCAGAGCTGTGAGGGCAGCAATCTGCCAATGATGGACAGTGACAAATAGCTGGTRATGTGGCTCTGATCTAAGGTTCAAGGTGAGATTCTCAGTTTTACTTTTTTTAAAGTCCTTAAAGAGATGTGAGATGAAGTGCTTGATTTAAAATTATAGTTAGAGTGAATATGCGGTATAAATTGTAAAAATAGACAATTTTCACTCTTTCTCCTTCCAGTCTTGTGAAAATGCCATTGTGTGCTGGAAACCTGGCAAAATGGAAGATGATATAGATAAAATCAAGCCCAGTGAGTCAAACGTGACCATACTTGGGAGATTTGATTATAGTCAATGTGATATTTGGTACATGAGGTTTTCCATGGATTTCTGGCAAAAGGTATGTGTGAGTTTTCACTTAGCCATATCTGAAGGTGACAAACTTTTCAGTGATTCCATGTGTATGTGTAAGGGAAGGGCTTTTTTTTTCTTCATATGCGATAATGTCATCCTTAAGAAGCAGAATTGTTTGGTACAAAAAACCTTATATGGAAAGGTGATGTTCCAGATATTTTATTTTGGGTTCTGTTTTATTTTGGGTTCTGTTTGCTGGGAAAAAAAAAAATCCATCCAATGCTTATTTTCCACTAAGGATAAATTTTTTGATACCTACAAATGGGGAAAAATGAGGCAAACTTTGAAGAGTTTCACATCCCTTCAGCAATCTCATTAGTTCATCTTCAAATGTACATTGTCAATTTACCAGCTACAGAGTCTTTATGAAATTCTGGCTTCCATTCTTGAAACAGTATTTCAATACTTGCATATCCTCTGCTTTTTTCCCAAGATGCTTGCTCTGGGCAATCAGGTTGGCAAACTTTATGTTTGGGATTTAGAAATAGAGGATCCTCATAAAGCCAAGTGAGTACTTAATTTTTAGTTTTATTTTTCCTTGGGGCACTGTTTTTCCTTTACTGATAACTGCAGAAATTCTTACATAGTAATTCCAGTTGCCCATTCCAACTACTAACCAAATAAACATTTTGAACCCCTAAAGGTTAAACATTTATTTATGTGTGTGTGTGTGTGTGTGTGTATATATATATATATATATAAAATATATATATTACTGTTTTATTGTTTGTTTTGCAGTAATGCCAAGAAGTCCCAGATTTATTTGGGGCATGTTGTGCTGGGCACTGTGTAGATAGAGAAAAAGAAAGTTTGGTCTTCAGAGAGTTTTCAAACTGACTAGGTGGAGAATTTAAAAGTAATTGAGAAGTGCCAACTGAATATAGCAGGTGACAAAACAGGTAAAGGACTAGAATAATGAGAGTACATAGGTTAGCTCTAAGAATAATGGGGAGGAAACAGTATGGCCTTCCAGTCCCTCTGTGCCTGGCCAGGTGATTCATTGCATATTTCCATATGTTTTTAAATATACGATGTTCCTGGAAATGTTGCAGTCTTTAATCACCCAATTATGATATTTTATTCCTAGACATTAGAAAAGAAAGTTGATTAGAAAATCCTAAATATGCTTTTAGTTAACACTTCAATGTAAAATGGATGAATGGGAAAATCAGGTGGTATAGAATGGGCAGGAACTTGCTGCTTTCCCAAATCCAGATTTCGAATACAATATATACTCTGAAAAATATAATCCTGCTGCCCTTCTAATCCAGTGTACGTGATGTAAGTAAGAAGTTGGGGAAACAGCAATCTATAATGTAGTAGCAAGTGCAGATTTAACATATTTAATACTGCAGCTGAATTAATTTTTTCTTTCTTTTTTTTTTTTTTTTTTTTTTAATATAGGTGTACGACACTTACGCATCCTAAATGTGTTGCTGCCATACGACAAACCAGCTTTAGCAGGGATAGTAGTATCCTTATAGCTGTTTGTGATGATGCCAGTATCTGGCGCTGGGACAGACTACGATAAGTTACCTTTTCTTAATTGAAAGTAGAAAATATATTTTCAAATTATAATATAGTCTGTTAACTTGCTAGGATGGTAGATGCATTTAGTGTAGACTTTTCTCTCAGGTTCAGCAGACTGAAGCTGAACTTAGTGATGTTTACATTCTGTGTAATGTTCTGCTTGAACTCTGCTGCTTTTAATAAAAAGAGGTATTTTTGTAAAGGTTTTTTGAATTGTCAATTTTAATTATTTCCTTCAATGGGTTTTCAGTTGCAGCCTGGGAAAATGCATTGTGCACAGCCAGCATATAAATATATCATAATGTGAGAGAAATTCGGTACATGTATGCTTGCAGCTGTCTTTGTCMCTTCTTATCTTAAATAAAAATCTAATGAAGCTATTGAACAATATCCAGGGACCACACAAAGGAAATACTGCACTTTGAGAATATAGTGTAAATAAATGTTAAATTACTGCTACAATATTTTTCAACTCATTCCTCTACTTAAGTCAGCTACACATTGCAACTGATTCAGTTTTAATAATCTCAGACTGGGATGTACTTTTCTCCATTTCTGATATTGATTAATGGRAAAAAGTCACTGTTTGTATTCATAGCTCTCACTGCTGTATTGTTTAGATTCTTCTTAGTTACTAGTTTAGTTGGACACATTTTTAAATTGCTTCTGTCAGTATTGCTGAGTATCCTCACAAATGTTTTRCTTGCTGTAGGAATAACAAATTCTACAATCAACATTACTTCATATAGTTTTAAAATACATGCCGTTAATAAAAATGAAAGGGGACAAACTGAAATAAGATAACAGACATCGTTAATGGTGATGATCTATTGCCAGAACACTTGTACACATGTCTTGTCAGTATGTAGTTAAAATCTTACTGCTGGTATTTGGTGTAATTTGTCCAAGATGTTGCACAAGAGCCATGAGTACTTTTGATGGGTTGGGACGGAGACATTAGTGAAGCAGAACCATTAATCTGTTATTCCCATTGACCTCTTCTTAGCCTTTTCCATAACACGTTAAATGAAAATTAGAATATTAGAGTATTGCATGAATACAAGCACACAATCTTTAGCAAGCTACTCGTTATTTTTTTGATCTGTAGAATGAGTTAAAAGAATGTAAAGGGGAAGACAGTTAAATATTCTCTTAAGCCTATAGTATTTATATGTATATATATTAATAWATACTTTTGTGCAGGCTGAAACTGTGCAAACACACACACGATGAGAGATGCAGTTCCTCAAGTTCTTCAGCAGAGTAAGTGCGGTTTGACACTAAAGTTGCAAGGCTGAGAAGCYTGACAAAAATGTACTGAAGGGTGGTGGTGTTGTTGCTGTTCTCCCYATTGTCTTCAAGCTGCCTGCGGTTCTCTTCAAATTACATAATTGGCTGCTTTATGTTAGCAAAACACAGGTGAGACAGAGGTAGGGTCTGCTTGCCTTTCTCTGCCAATTCGTTGATAATTGCACTACAGCTAGGAAAATGTTGCAGGACAGCTGCAAATGTTACGGGTGACTGAATGTAATCAAGTACTACTGGATTGCAATTTTTTTCAGCTGTTGCTCCCTGAGTATCTCCAAGGAGAAATTCATCATTTTATTACTGTTAAAGAAAGAGTTGGGGGAGAGGAGACACCTTCCCAAAATTTCTGTCATTCTCCACCAACACACAGAGACTTAGAAGTTGGTTGTTAATGTTTGGCTTAAATGTTTGGGTTTACAAGTCCTAAGGGGAAGTTTTCAGGCAAGCTGAGGGCTCTTATCTATTTGGTGAAAGGTAGTTAGTACTCCAGAGAAAGATTTTAGTTTATTATAACTTAGCTGCTTTTATAAAAGCAAGGCGCACACACACACACACACACACACACACACACACCCTCTCTGCACAATTAGAATTTTTACTACTTTTGATGCATTTTTTGTTGATTTTGGCACAAACTAGTGGCAGTGTATGCACTTGTTGCATTCCCTGATCTTGCACTTGCCACCTGCCAGTCCCACTTGGCTATTTGCAGTGATGAGGTGAGCGCACACCTAGAAATATTTCCTGAAAAAAAACTTTTCCCTGCTCTGGCAAGTGTTGACTCAGAAGGATGAATGATTAGGAAAGCATCGCAAAATGCAGAAGACTGAGTGTATTAATATCATAGTTTTGAGTCTCCCATGCCGGGACATGTTTGACCTCTAGCCTAGTGATCAGTTTAGTGTTTTGGGTTTTAAGAGTCTTCCATTAAAGTTCCACTTTTCTTACCCAATGTTAAGAAACTCAACATCACATGAAAATATACTCTAAATCATCATCTGAAGTATGCAAAGAAAACAYTCTAAAACATATCAGTGCATCATGAAACAGGAGAATGCAGCAGGAGGAATGTAGTTTCCATTCCTAGACAAGTGGTTCTGCAGCCTAACAAACCAATGCGTCTTTATTATTGTCCATAAAAAGAAAGTAACTCTGCTGAGATGGTTTCTCCTTCATACTCTTTGCTTCTGACAGCACATGCACATGTGTGTCCTAAATTTGGCATTTACTCTGCAGATTAGGAAATAACGAACTTCTCTACAGTCTTTGAGATACAAGAGAGATTGTACATTTCGGTCACTTGCAGTCCAATAATCCATTTGATGTGAGCTGAAATCCACTTGATGGGAGAGATAGTACTGAGAATCGCTGTTACAGGCTACAGAACACAGGTCATGCAAGAGCAACTTCTGCCCTCTCCACTCCAGAATATAGAATAGCAATGGTATGTTCCCTGTGGAACAGTATGGGGCAAAAGAAAAGGCAACAGGACATCTTATGCCTTTGGGGGGAAACTAATATTTCACTGCCAATGATGTCAGCTGGTGAAGATAACAAATCTGCAGGAAAAGACAAGTTACCAGCCTGAAGGTGAGTTCCATAATAACCTGGCAGAATACAGAATTTAAATGACTGTGCAGTTCCAAGACACTGGGCATGTATTACATTTCCCTATATGCACTAAATGCCTGTTTCCTCAAACATCCTATTGTGACACTAGTTGTAGTTCTGACACAACCAGGGAAGTTCAGGAATAATCAACCAAATTTCTTGGACCCCTCTTTCTTGTAGGGCCCTATCTCAGGGGAATCTTCTAAGTAGGTTCCTGAAGAGACAAAAGCCCCATATCGTGAAATGTGTYGTTGCGATCATGCCTGTGCCTTGTTCCCTATTTGCAGGATCCGTAACTCCACCATGCCATGGTCACTGCAGCCAAGGTTGTTTGAGAGGTTGCAAGAAACTCTGTGTCTTCAACTAGATCTTGCTCACTGGAACGAGGCCCAGCAGAGACCTCTCTCTTGGTTCTTCTACCACCTGTATCAGGGAGTTATCATCAATCCTCTCCTGCATCTTCTGTGCGTTGCTGTGCCTTGCCTACCTGCAGCAGGTATCATAGTGGTTAAAACTTGCAACGTGTGCAAGTCACACTACAAAAGTTTTTGGTAGTTTTCTCCATATATATTTTATTTCTCAGAAAGTCCACTTTCCTCATCTATGAGAGACATATATAAGAAGTATGTTGACTCTAAGCCCACAAGAAATCTGTAGCACAGTTTGGACAAGAACTGAGGCATTGTGACATCCCTTCAGAACAACCACTCAGGTTTCATGTTGTAGCCTCAGGCTTGGGGACTCCCCACRCAAAAGATGAGGCAACCATTCCTATGCTTCTCTCTTGTGACAAGTGCCCTCATGAAAATCACAAGAATCACAGAATCACAGAATGGTTAAGGTTGGAAGGGACCTCTAGAGATCATCTAGTCCAATCCCCCTGCTCCAGCGGGGACATYCAGAGCACGGGGCACAGGGTGGCATCCAGGTGGGTTTGGAAGATCTCCAGAGAAGGAGACTCCACAGCCTCCCTGGGCAGCCTCTTCCAGGGCTCTGTCACCCTCACAGTGAAGAAGTTCTTCCTCATACAGAGATGGAACTTCCTGTGTTTCAACTTGTACCCATTATCCCTTGTCCTATCAATGGCTACCACTGAGAAGARTTTGGCCCCATCCTCCCTACATTCTCTCCTTGGGTATTTATACATATTGATCAGATCCCCTCTCAACCTTCTCTTCACCAGGCTAAAGAGGCCCAGGTCAGTCTCTCCTCATACAAGAGATGCTCCAGTCCCTTAATCATCTTGGCCATCCCTTCCAATCATCTCTTGCTGTTGATATATTTATAGCATCCCTTTCTGTTGTCTCTGACATTCCTTGCTAAATCTAATTCCAAATGGCCCTTGGTCTTCCTCATTGCATCCCTGTATTCTCTGAATGTGCCTATATTMTTCACATGTGGCTTTCTTCCACATGACATATGGTCTCTTTTTCTCATTAAGTTTACCTTAGTCTTTCCTCACATGTATATGTAAGCTATATATATGTTACATATTTATACATAAATAACACATGTAATCCAAGATTTCTCATACCCATGTCCCACAACTGAGCTTCACATCAGAGAGAAGAGGTAATTAAGGTGAGCTTTGCTGAAAAGATTCAGAATAATTCCAGACAAGTGGTAGTGGGATAGTACTTGCTATTCCAACTTAGTGTTCTTCCTATTCTGTTATTTGCTGGATTTCAGAGCACACATCCAGATTATTTTAGTACTTTCTTTCATGCTGTCCTGTCAGAGGTTTTGTCACRTGCATTCGTTGGATCAGAAGACAGCTGCAACAGCAGAGAAAAACCAATTATGAAATCAAACACAAAAAACCCCTCTCACTTGGCCATGACCCTCCCTGCCTCTGTGTGCAGCTGGCCACTGAGGCGGGAAAAATATATACACCTTCCAGTGTGTATGCACAACACTAAGCTGC